TTTTTCGACTTAGAAATTATAGGTAAATTTTTGTTTGTAAGCTGGTATCTCCATAACTACTGAAGGGTTTGTACCTTTTCGGACAATTTAATGTATTCATATAGGTAAGCATTATTATACTCAATGAAACACCCTTGTGACGTTACTGTCCTCCGACAGTTCTTGTTAAGTTCTTGAAATAATAATCTGCCCATGCACGAAGTCAAGATAAGGTGTTTTATCTTACTTTGACTTTTGACTTTGGCTTTTTTTGTTGTGTGGTAAAATTTACTAGCTTATATATAATAAATAAAGAGGCACACAAAATGATCATTTTTGATAGTTTCGTTAAAGGTGTCAATTGGGTTATGGAAAATTATTGTTGAGGATGAAATTTAAATTCGGACGATCATAGGCACGTTTGCAATCTGAGCATGGTTTTCTATCTTCTTTAAAAACTGTTTACTTTATTTTGATAATTTCAATGCATATCATAATTAAACGTTTCAGGAAAGAACACACCATAAGTAACTATACATCATTTCGTATGGTCATTAAAAATGCAATTCTCTTCATTATAGCATAAAATCGGCTATTTTTCCCTATTTTGCCCATGTTATAACGGGACCAAAACCATGTGTTAACATAGTCACGCGCTCTTGTTATAGCCCGGTTTCACCTATGCGCAATACATACAGGGCCCAGTAAACAAACAACGATTTGGCATGTTTGCCAAAGAGTCATGCGCTCTTGTTATATTGAAATTTATTGATTCGAGGGCCTCAGTCGCATATTCAACTAAACATGCCGTAAAAACGGCGTATAGACATCGGTGCTAATCTTGGTTGTCGCCCTTTCTAAGAAACGGACAGTTGTCAATGTAAACAAATACTGTACTGGCATGCGAGCAGTTCCCGTACAGAAGCAGTACCCGTATTTTTCATTTAAACGCTTGATTTTTACATGCATTCTTCAAAAATTCATTTCAAATCAAGCAGACACATAAACGAGACAAAATCTAAGTGTCAGTTCGGCAGTACGTATAAAAAGTCTCATTTTAAATCACTTTCACCTGTGCGTTGTCAAAACGTGACCTTGTTTTATCTGGGGGATTCCGTCCTTGCGCGCATGCGCAAACATACTTACGCGGGAGGCATGTTAAAGGGTTTCCCACTTATACCACCTGTTTACAGATAAGAAGGCAATGTGATGAAAACTTGTTTAATTATCAGAATTTTGACCAATATTACTTTATAAAATAATTTTATGGCTTTGATACGTAAAATATCATGCATACAAGCATGCCATCGCATGTGAATGCGTTGGGGGTAACGGTACCGGGTAATAGATACACGCGTTTAGTCTGCTTTCTATTTCCTGAATTACATCTATTTATCTCTTAGAAAATGGTCTGTTCAACAATTATAAATGAAAAATAGGTCCGATATAATAAAATTGTATAATTATAATGGGTTAAATTTTATGTACGGGAACTACTTCTCTTCATACAAAATAATGGATAATTTCTGTACCCCATATGAGGCCTCATAACTAAGGGTTATTCTATGTTTAGAACATGATGGAATTTCCATGATTTGTGTGACGAGCTGAATATTGATGTGTAACATTTTAATTTTGGTGAGTGAGCGTAATAAAAAATAATGTTTAAGTAACTACGATTTTTGTACGGGAACTGCTCGCATGCCAGTACAGTAGAATCTACCTGTCATTCAGTTTAACACTCCGATTAACTTACAAAACTAGATAACACAAAATTGATATGAGAAAATGTTTTTTATTTATGTTAATGTTGATAAATGCTCTTTATATTTCTTTGAGAGAATAATGCTTAGTGCCTGATTTTTTTATAAACTTGTTTGCTTGAAAAAAAGAAACCGATTCTGATTTCACTCAATCATCAATCTGAAAATCATTCTAAGAATTTCTGAGGGTCATGTTTTGTCTTCGGTAGAGGGTAGAGTAATGTAAAGTGTTTTTTTCTTGAGATAATAAATCTCCAAAGGCCAAGCTTTGTTAAATCAATTAAAATTCAAAATTTCGTTCGGTTCCGAGAATTTTCCAAGTTGTTGGCCCCGGAAAAATGAAACGCATACGTAAAACATAGAATTGGATAAATACCGTCCAAGCACAAGAATTTAATGTAATTGTGTTTTGTATAAACTATACATCACGAATCTGTTTGAAAAGTTTATGCTATAATAGCGTCAACGCACGTTTATTTCGTGTTATAAAGTCTGCAGAGTCCCTCGGAACTGTTGGAGCCCTCGCCCTACCGGGCTCGGGCACCAACCGTTCCTCGGGACTCTGCAGACGTTATAACACGGAAAAACGTGCGTTAACCCTATATTATTCACACGCTCTTTCATGGTAAAAACTGTATAGTAAATAATATTGACAAAAACAAATTTAACAATAAATCATGTACACAAATATAAAACTGATATAAATCATGTACACAAATAAAAACGTTTTAAGTAAATATTGTAGAATAAACTTATGAAATAGTAAGTTTTGTACACAAATGCGAATCCTTTATAAAATCTAGCACACATATACACATTTTCTAGTAAATCATGTACACAAATAAAAACGTTTTAAGTAAATATTGTAGAATAAACTTATGTAATAGTTAGTTTTGTACACAAATGCGAATCCTTTATAAAATCTAGCACACATATACACATTTTCTAGTAAATCATGTACACAAATAAAAACGTTTAAAGTAAATATTGTAGAATAAACTTATGTAATAGTAAGTTTTGTACACAAATGCGAATCCTTTATAAAATCTAGCACACATATACACATTTTCTAGTAAATCATGTACACAAATACACATCTTAATGTAAGTTATGTACACAAATACAAATCCTACATAAAATCTAGCATACATATACAAATATTCCAGTATATCATGTACACACAAATATTATACAATGCAGTAAATTATGTACAGAAATACAAATCTTATAGTAAGTTGTGTACACAAATACAAATCCTACATAATCAAGCACATAAATACAAATATTCTAGTATATCATGTACACAAAACAAATATTATACAATGTAGTAAATTTTGTACAGAAATATAAATCTTATAGTAAGTTATGTACACAAATACAAATCTTAGTACATAAAATCTAGCACATAAATACAAATATTCTAGTAAATCATGTACACAAAACAAGTATTACACAATGTAGTTAATTATGTACACGAATACAAATTTGGTAGAAATTATGTACACAAATAAAAAGCTAACACTAAATTATGTACACAAATACAAGTCTTACATTAAACTATGCCCACAAATACAAATCTTGTAAAAAAAAATCATGTACTAACATTCAGATCATATCCAATATTAAACGTTAAAACATATCAAATACATTATGTTTGTAAGAAATTATTTTAAAAAAATTCATTTTTCATTTCCATTTTTTTTTTACTTTTTGTTTAGATTTATGCAGAAGACACAATCCATGTTAATTACTTTAAGACCACCTAAAAATTCCTCCTGAGATTTTTTTAGATGTACTTTTGTCTAGAAGATGATGTTGTTTAAAGAGCAAGAACAAATAAAATTGCAAGTATAAGTAATTCTACTCTGGTGAGATCAAAATGTGACTTCAAAGTGAAATGATTTAGCGCTAGTCTATATACATGTTTTCATATATTGTAGCAATTTATTAGAAGACAAAGGCAAAATGCAATCACATAAGCATAACTTTTTGATAGGCCTAGTAGACAGTTAAGACTACAAGGCTTGGGTTCGGAAAATCTATTTACAGCAACTCATACAAAACATATAAGAAAACAATACTTTAGTAACTTTTAATAGGAACATAATTTGATAAGCTGTCATTTAGTACACGTCATACATCTATATAATAAACTTCAACACATGAATGAAAATAAATCTGATATGTTTACTTTGTCTACTTAATCGTTAAACAAACCTGTGTCAAAAAACAACAACAACAAAGCAACATATATATTTATATATATAATCATTACACTGCAATATTTTACTTTTACAATTGAAAAGGACTGACAATGATTTCCGAACACAAAGATAATGCAAAAAATGTCATTTATTGCATAGCACAGTGTTATTTTCCATCTGGTCATACATGTTCATTATACATTCTGCCATTTTTTCATTGTATGTTGAGAAAAATTGACCATATATTTTGAAAATTTACTGTTATTATGGTAATTGACTAACACTTTAACTTGATATTGATAAATGTTTAGGATAAAATATAAGTCTGCCTAAACCATAAAAAGACTGCCCCCTTTTTTAATTAAACATTTCAGGTAAATTTTCAGGTAAATTCCGATGGATATATACATTCATTTCCTTATGTCAAGTGAGTTTTATTATGCCAAGTACATTATAAAATTGAAAGGTATAATTGCAAAATGAAAACCTTTTTTGACTTTCACCTGTTTACTTATTTCACTATATACATTTTGATGGGCACAATGTCACTTTTATCTAGCTAACTTAAAACTATCTATGTACAAATATTGATTATTATAAATAAAAGTATATTAACATATTATAAAATACAGGGATATAAATAATGCACATATTATACAGCTAAAATATAATTCTAATACAAATATAATAAATTTGTATTCAATTAATATGTATACATTCACAAAATATGGAAATGTAATTATTTTTTCCTGAGAGTTGATATAAAGCATTATTGCACGAGTAGTCTATTTTAATGCCTTGAATTGTCTGAGTTGTATTATCCATTATTATCAGGTCACTCACATATACTTAGAAAACTGTAAGAAATTATAATGCCCAGAAACCTATGAAATATTTACAGAAGAATTTTCCTCAGTTTCCATTTATATTCCCTTTATTCATCTTACAAGGGTTGTGTATAGCGTAGTATTGATTAAATGTTAGACACATAATGATGATGTCTATTTTATCTGTCACTTGTCTCATAATCTATTTATAAATTGTTTCTCCAAGTTCATTTAAGATTACTCTTCAAGTTTGTTGTTGTTTTGAAATCAAACTTGAAATCTCCAGACTTAATGGTGCGATCACGTGTGACCACAAAATTGTCTGAGTGTTTTATGAATGTTTTAAACTCTTTAAATTTTGTTTCTGGTTTTATATCACAACCTTTCATTTGTACTGTCACTGTATGTGGTAGTTTGTTTATAACAGTAATGAGATCATGTAACACTGAACAAGACATTGTTATATGAGACAAGGTAACACATTCAATATTGATCATTTGAGGTGACAGTGTAAATGATCTTTCACCAAGTTTTATTCTCCTTAACCTAACAACTTTCAAATGATGTAACAATGGTAATGTTTGTACCATTGATTCTATATCACTGGAAGATTCTAGATATTTACACGTAAGTGTTTGTAGTATACTGGCTGCTGGTAGTTGACTGAGATAAGATGACGCAACACCAGGTTTATATAATCCACCAACACCACAATCCTCTAACAACGACACATCCATGTTTAATTGTGACACAGGTATCCTGGCCAATTCTAAATGTCTTAGTTGTGAATGTTGAGATAGGTCAAGGTTGAATCCCCTACATGAAGTATCATGATCACTACAGTATAAACGATACAATCTTATTTCTTTCATTGTTTTTTTACTAGTGAGGAAATTAAACAATGTCTCCATTACCTTGTGGGTCATAGTGAAACCTTGTATATGTAAACGCTCCAGGTGTTGTAATTTAACCAGTCGTCTATTTATCTCAGCAGACAGCAGGTAACGTCCTCTTACAAATTTATGATTTTCCCATTTACCTGATGCCACAGTTAAACATTTTAATGGGTTCAATAACAAGCTCATTATTTCCTCTTCTACATTTTCTCCATAGTAGATTAATTTCTCTATATGTGGAAGGTCAGAGAGTGTAAATGATTTGATAATTTCTTGTAGACTACAAATACCTCTATTGTGTATCATTATTGATTTTATGTTTTCTTTATTTTGTTGACACAGCTGTTGTAATTGTTTGAAGTAGTTTTCTTGTTTACATTTCACATCAATGATGAAATCTTGTAAACACAATTTGAGGTCTTTGTTTTCTTTTCTTTCTCTTGCACAAGAAATGTACATGTCTTGTATGTCTTGTAATGGACCAATGTACATGTTATTATATCTTGTCAAAGTTCTGCTTTTTATTGTTATTTTATCATTGTTTATCACAGGCATTAAATAACTTGATATTGCAGACATTAATTTAGGGTTCATGTTACTGATGAAAACAAACACTTTTGACATGTCTAGAATATTTTGTAAACACTGGCACTCTTCAAATAGGATTCTCTGGACTTCACATGTATTTTGAAAACTCATAAATATTGCTGAAAAGTATTCATGCACTGTTTTGTGTGAAAATGAGATTTTAGAAGTTTCATTTGTTAATGTTTTCACTTCACTTTCTGATAATATTCCTGATAGACAGCTTGATTTCAAATCTTCTTGATTAAGATATTTTTCAGCAACATTTTTATCAAAAACTAATCTGTGTTCCTTTTTCTTACTGAAAAATGTATAAAAAGCTAGTTTCCCAATGGTCAAAAGAAACGTGTAGTAACTACAAAAATGTTTATGTTTTCTGAAACATTCAGGGACGTAACTCGGAGATTTTTTACATGCTGAATGAAACTTTCCATGTAACTTTTCTGTTCTAGATAGGAGAAGCTGAATAATGCCTGTATATAATTCTACTGCTGAATTTCCTATTGAAATTTTTTCAACCCATAAACATATAAGATAGAGTAATAGGAGAGGGGTGGTATCCATATCTTCAAGGTCATGGTCACTGATTGCTTGTTCAAATCTACACACTTCATTTTTCAGGTCACTATCTTTAAAGTTCTTATTCAATATTTTCATTGCGTTACTCTTAAATTGCCTGGCATTGTCTTTATTTAGTTTAACTAGCTCTACTGTTTCGCCTCTTTGCATCAAGTTTGACATTCCAAGCTTCCATGGCCGGGTCGTTGTTAAGATTACACACTTTTCACGTGCATATCGATGTGGAATACTTTTAGGAAGTCTTGAACAATCGTTGTCAGGATGAGTCCATTCATCTAGTCCATCTAATATAACAAGACATTTTTTGTCATGTAGAATGTCCTTTAAAAGACCTTCAGGCATGAAAGATGAGCAAGGGAGATTTTGTATCAGCTGTTCTTCAATCATGCCGTCAACATCACATACTTTAGCTGAATCTCTCAATAGCACTAGAAATAAAAACTCAAAGTCAGATAACACCTTCAACTCTTCTCCTTTAAAATGCTTATAATTTTTATCTTTTTGATGAGCTTGACACCACGTCAATGCGAGATATTTTGAAAATGCTGTTTTCCCAAATCCAGCGACCGCTGATAAGTATATTTCCTGAGAAATATTTCTACCCGAAATAAACAGGTCCTGTAACGACTTGACTCTAATTGTTTCTTTTCCACCATCAGTCTGATAAATCTGTATGTCAATTTCAGGCATTATGTAGAACCCGGCTAGAGGGGTAGGGACAGCATCTGTGAGTGGTGAAAGAGGAACTGTACTCTGATTGGTTTTGTACCATGTAATTAGTTCATCCTTCAGTTCTAAAATAGAAAAAAATTACAAGTTATTCATAGACATGATGCTCATGTTCTACATACAGCAGTACAGTACAGTAAAACGGAAATAAAATAATAAAGAAATTAAATACAAAACATTCTTTTAAGTTATTCCTCATATACTTGTACTTACACCAGTAAGATAAATAGAACACTCAGTAGAAAATACAAATTCAATGATGAAACTGCATGTGTTCGTCTTCAAACTTCTAAATTTACAGTAGCAGACGAACACATATTTCATTTAAAAACTCGAAGTATCATACAACATATTTTCAGAATACCTCTTTGTTGTAGCATCTCTCTTGGTTTGTTTTTCTAAAGTTTATCTAGACAGCCAGCTGCTGTCAATGCTACAGTAAATATGAAAATGCAAGGAAGAAAATATTTGCACTGGCTGAACTGTAATAAACATCAATCTAAAAATAGACTTTCATATGACAGTAGTGAAGAAACAAGAAATATCTTTTGAAAAGATACACTTCCGTGTTAAAAAATATGTTTCAATGTCGCTTTTAGATTTTATACTTCACTGTGTACATTTTTACATAATTACACAATTAAATAATTTTACCCCTCACTGGGCGTACCACTTGGGGAGGGGCATTTAGTTTTGCCCTTATCTGTCGGTCCGTTATATTTGTTATAGATCTATTTATTTGAAGTCTCATTGCCTTTAATTTAATTCAAATTTCGCGTTACTAAACACTATTTGACCTATTGCATTAGAGTCATGAAACTTAGAAACAGGGGCGGGTACAAAAAAGCCTCACGGTAAGGGGGTGGGGGAAGGGTGAGGCAGATATTGACAGAAGAAATAGAGAATATAACATAATTGACGAAAAGGATAGTTTTTTTTAAAGCTTGGACCAGCATCGTCAATCTCCCGGAATAACCAACGCTAGTCACATAATCAAACATTTTACATAATCGGCCTATAAACATGTACATTAAGATTATAGTTTATAGCCCATATAGAACATAAACAGTATGTTTCAAGCACATGCGCCCGGAATATAGATCTACCCATAAGTTTTTCACAGTCTCTATACTCAATGCAGTGAGCAATACATAATATTTTACATATATGTGCATCGCCAATATTGATATAAGTTCCGATCTTAATATCATTATTTTTCTAAAAAAATCATTTCCTACAGAAATAGCTTTCATACAATTGCAGGCGCTTGTAAACAATAGTTTCATTTTCAAAACAAGAAACACAAGTGTTTTCAAAAGTGCTCCCATATTTAATTACCATATATGAGCTATCTTTAATAAACCATGTTAATACAAAGAGCAACCTCAGGGAAGTTTACCATTTCAAGCAATTATAACAATTTGTCCCCAATCAAAATATAATGCCCATTTCTATGTATTACAAAGACGCCGCCACGTATCAAAACTATACCAACATATATTAAGGGACGTTACCATATATCTTACTAGTTTATAGTCCCATATATAAAATGACAGTATTTATCTAAACCACATAACAATAACTGAAAACCACAGACCATTTATCAAAACCACAGTACCATTTATCAAAACCACAGTATCATTTGTAAAAACCACAGAATCATTTATCAAAACCACAGTACTATTTTTAAAAACCACAGTACCATTTATCAAAACCACAGTACCATTTATCAAAACCACAGTACCATCTATCAATGTGTCACAGGGTGAGAAAAATGTGCAGCCCAACTGGGACTCTAACCCGGTACCCTCGGAAAGTAGTTGAATTGTCTCGGACATATTCGTGAATTTCTACTTACAGAACCATTCGATACAAAACAATAGCAAATGATAACAGACGCCACGGAAACAACGACAGTTTACGCATGCGCGGACATTAAATATAATTTTGCCGCGCCTTATTGACAAACAGCGCACGCCAACAAGTGACAAAAAACAGCACCATCCACCGGGGGCCTCCGTAGCCGAGTTGCTAAAGTCGCTGACTTGAGATCACAGGTCCCTCACCACTGTGGGTTCGATCCTCACTCGGGTCGAAATCTTTCATGTGAGGAAGCCATCCAGCTGGCTTACGGAAGGTCGGTGATTCTACCCAGGTGCCCGGTCGTGCCTGAAATAATGCCCAGAGGGGCACCTGGGGTCTTCCTTCACCAATAAAAGCTGGAAAAAAATCAACGAAAAAATCTCGGGGGGACGCTCTAAGATGACCCGACTTGAGTGTACGGACGTCCATATGGGCTTTCTGGCGGCGACCTTAAATAAAGGCATTAAAAAAAAAAAAAAAAAAAAAAAACCGCACCATCTATCAAAATGGCAATAACAGCTTTCAAAATCACATCACATCGCATAATCTGTTAAAACCACAGCACCATCAATCAAAATGCAATTGCAATTTATCAAAACTACAGCACCATATTCATCAGTGCCACAACACCATTTATTAAAACTGCATAACCATGTTTCAAAAGGACATCACTACAAGTAGGCTTATATAGAAGGCAGCTAAATTAAATGATATCTTAATATATGCTATTATATTTTATGACTTTTTTTGCATTTGTCTGAACATAATATAAAAATAAAACATAAGATCTATACTGTTTGGTGTTAACATAATCAAATCGCTATAAAAATCGTTCGTGCCTGAAATAATGCACGGAAGGGCACCTGAGGTCTTCCTCCACCAGTAAAACTGGAACGTCGCCAAATGACCTATACTGTGTCGGTGTGACGTAAAAACCAAACAAACAAACAAACAAACACTTTAAAAATGGCTAATTTATTTAAAGGTACATTATGTCTCAAAAATCCATTTTTCTTAAAGTCTTAAGAAATGTCAAACATGTGTTTAATGATGTCTTGATAGTTTAAACTTTATTTATTCAATAAATTGAACATAAATGACATTTACAAACATTGCACAACAATGTAATTCAGACTGGATTGGAAAACAAGTAAAACAATACTAATATCAATTCCTCTCCAGTAAAAGTAATTTTCAAGATAAAGATACAAAAATATTGCGGTTAGTTGCTCTTTGAATGTAAAATTAAGAATAAGAGAATAATTGATTGTTGAATTATCACTATAGAGAAACTAAGGTAAATTATGGTGAAATGCTTAAAGAAAGGAAGAATTAAGGAAAGGTATGATTGAATATATCGGAGCTTAATAATTAAGATTAACATGTAAGGAAATATGAGCGTACGGAAAGACCAAGTTCATTCACACTGATAGTAATTCTTACACAAAGCGCTTCGATTGTGTAACGAATTTTTGGACATTCTGAAAGAGGGTTTTGTTTTCATCAGAAGAGAGATGTTCGGTGCCGTAAAGAAGATTATTTACTGCAGCCGGAAAATTTAAATTAATTTAGTGAGAAATCTTTCGCGTATATTTCTGTATTTGGTACATTGCAATAATATGCAAAAATGAGATACAGTTTCTCTCATTCCGCGTGTGCATGTTAGACTTTCTTTCCACAATAGACCTTCTGAACAGATCCACATTCAATGAACTACATCCTAATCTTAATCTTGTGTGAAGGATTTGATCTTTACGTGTGCTTGTATTATAGTAAGACGGTGGTCTTTTGATATTCGGGGTTATTTTGGACTTGAATGAGTTTAAAGTTTGACTAGATCGAAGAGTTTCAGGAAGAAAATTCCAGGTGCGAATAGTAGAAGGTAGAAATGATTTTGAGTGTTCTGGTTGGAACTTGAGTTAAATCGTCAATATGTCTAAGGTTATATGTACTTTGTTGGGTGGGAGTTAAAAGATTTAAGAGACAAGAAGGTGGTATATGGTTTTTCATTTTATACAATAAGATTAATGTGTGTTTATTTCTTCTATTTTCTAACGATTCCCACCTAAGTTCACTGATAAGTTTGTTAATATTACACAGCTTGGTAGCGCCTGCGACTATTCTAGCTGCTTCATTTTGAACGGATTCTATTTCCTTATTTGGTTCGTCAGTTAAATTATCCCAGACTACATCAGCATATTCAAGAAGTGGGCGGACAAATGAATAATACATGCGTTCTAAACTTATTCGTGATAAAAAAAATTTAAAACTTCTGAGTAGTCCGATTCTTTTCCAGGCCTTATCAAGTAATAGATGAATATGGGTTTTCCAACGGGCATCATGAGATAAAGTAACACCAAGATGTTTATGTGATGTGACCTGAGATATAACTATAGAGTTATAGCTAAGTGTAGGATGAGACGGTTTAGATAATTTTCTTGAAAAAGTAATTGTTTTTGTTTTTTCTGGATTGAAAGAAACAAGCCAAGTATTGGCCCAAGAATGTATCCGATCTAAGTCTGAGTTAAGACTGGTTGCTGCAGTAAGTGGGTTATCTACGATTATATACAAACTCGTGTGATCAGCAAAAAAAATTATGTAAGAAAATATGTAATTTACGATATCGTTGATGTAGATAAGAAACAAAAGGGGACCCAGAATTGAACATTGAGGGACACTTGCGGAGATAGAAACCCATGCTGAGGATACATTTCTGTACTGGACTCTTTGTCGCCTGGAAGACAAATAAGAGGAGAACCACTGAAGAAGCGACCCGTTTACACCCAATGGAGATAGTTTGTAGAGAAGACCTTGATGCCATACTCGATCAAAGGCCTTGGAGATGTTACAAAATATAGCCCAAACGTCTTTACCCTAAACGAGAGCTTGACAAATATATGTATGTATAGGTTAACTAATTGATTAACTGTTGAGTCATCTCTTATTAAACCTGATTGGTGAGGAGTAAGCACATTATTAGTGACAAGATGATTATACAGATACTTATGAACACATCTTTCCATCAATTTTCCGATACAGCTTAACAATGAAATAGGGCGGTAGTTTTCGGGACGTGTTGGATCAGATTTTTTTAAAATAAGAGTTACATTAGAAAGTTTCCAGTGTGTAGGAAAGGAAGAAGAGCGAATAAGCTTGTTAAAAAAGGCTGCGAGTGGACTGGCTAAAAACAGGCGCGGCTTCT